GGAAACAAATAATTCCTAAAAATAATTCCCTTTAATTATTAATAATTTTCTCTAAATATTTTTAGAATAACCCAAGTCCCTGTCAATCCTTCATTGATGGCTATACTCCAACTCCAATCTCTTCACCAATAACAAAATCAATTCGGCGCCCTCCAAATTTACCTCCCCCACCTCCACCATCTGCCCCCTTTTTGGAAAATGAATATTCAACAGCTAATTATTTAATTAATGATAATAAAAGGTATTTTTAAATTAAACTAAAATAAATTTTTAAAAATAATTACAGAAGAGAAGGTTGGCGACAAATAGGCAGAAATGCATCTATTAGGGCTGTAAAAGCCGGAGAGGCTATTCGTAATAAATTTAATAATGAAAGGAATTGGGCTATATTTAAATTAAGTTTATGCGAATTATTATTTTCAAGTAAATTTAGATTAAAAATTAATTTAAATTTATTAATCATTTAATATTTTTAATTAAAAATTTCGGGATCGCCCCAGGATATCGACACTCTAAATTACGTCCCCAAAATATCGAAAATTTTTTAATTTCATAATTATGTATTCCAATAATCGTTAATGTTGTTCCAACATTTGGGAAGTGTTCCAACTACAGAGAAGCGATCGAACTGACCATAGCGACCGATAAAGAATCTCCTTGGAGGTCGACTCTCTCTTTGATTGAACATATAGATCAGATTGATGTTTGTTCCATTATTGGAATAATTCCCCTATGTTAAAACAGACTTCCCCGTCCTTGGAATACATAATTTTGAAATTAAAAAATTTCGATATTTTGGGTAATTCGTCATTTTGGGGCGGTAATTCTGGGCGTCGATATTCTGGGATGGAGTCAAAAATTTCATTAAAAATAAATTTAAAAATAAAAAAATTTTTTAAAGCAATTCTTCTTTCGCTTGGCATTGTTTGTGTTTGTAAAACAAAAGAATTTTGCCCCTATTATTCGGCTATTTGGACTTCAATAATTTTTATTTTAAATTCATTTATTGGATTAATTACCTCAAAAACTAATTTTGTTGATCATTATATCACTCATTTAATTCTTTCATTAATTTCTATTGTTTTAACTTTTGTTGGAGGAACAATTTCTTTAATGTAAATTTATTTAAATATTTAAATAAATATTTTTCGAAAAAGAAATTGGCAATTAATTGGAACCTATAAACAAAATAATGAAAGAGGACGGCAATTAATTAATCCAAAAGCAGATGAGGAACAAATGTATAGAGCCTTTTGTCTTTTAGGAGAACACGATTCTCGAAGAATTAGTTATATTTATTCACATATGAATGAATATAATTTTAGAGAGGTAATTAAATTAATTATATAAATTTGTTAATTAATTAGGGAGGCTATTTAATTACCTAATTTTTAACTTTAAAATTTCTAAAAGATTAATAATAACCTCAAAAATTCTTCACAAAATAGAATTATTATTTTAATTAAAATCAAAACTAAATTCCTGGGAATAATGAAAAATGGTTGTTTAATGATCTGGCATTAGAATTTTTTCGGGCAAGTTTTTATCGAGTCGGGCCTATGTGTCACTTCAGGCCAAATATCTTAAGCCAACTCGATGTTTCGGTCCGAGTCGGTCAGGGCTGTACGCAACTGAAAAAAATTTTCCGAAGTCCGCAGTTTCGTCCAGCCCTGGAGTCGGTCCATCTTATTCAACCCTAATCCTTATTTTAATTTTTAATTAAAAGAAAGATTTCGAATTTATTTGCTTGAAAATATTTAATTATTGCAAATAGAAACTTTAAATATTTTTAGTGTCTTATTGGAGTTAAAATTGGTATTGCCGTTAATAGTTTACAATTTTTAATTACAGCATTACTGGGTAAGAATGAGAAAAAATTTTTTTCAATTAAAATTAATTAAATATTTTTTTAAATTTAGGAATTCTTTTTCTTGTTTCAATTGTTCTTTGTTTATTTCGAATATGTACTAAATATGTTGGCGAAGATAATAAAAAATGATTTTTAATTAATGGAGAACAAAATGATAATTTAATAGGAAAATAATTAAAATCTCATTGTTTATGAAAATATTTGCTAATAATAAATGATATTTCGGCTCTATATGAAATGAAGTCCCAAATCAAATTTTTTCCATCTTCCTTAAAATGAGTAATTTCCTTTACATTTCTCTCTATTTTTGATTTATGCCGTAAGTCTTTAAATGCAAAAGGATTAACTGAACGTGTGTGTCCGTGTTTTCTCTGTCTATGTCCGTCCGAGTCCGTCCGTGCTTTGTTTGTCCGAGTTCGTGTTTTGACTGTCCGGGTTCGTCCGTGTTTGTCTGTCAGAGTTGTCCGAACCGGTTCCGGACCTTTGCCGGTTCCACGGACACGGACGAACTCGGACAGACAAAATTTGGACGAACTCCGAAGTCAAAATACGAACGGACTCGGACGGACACAGACAGGGAAGCGGACACACACGGTCATAAACACACAACACACGTTCAGTTATTCCTTTAACATTCATAGCCTTACAGCACAAATCAAAAATGTAGAGAAATGTAAAGAAAATTACTAATTTTAAGGAAGATGGAAAAAATTTGATTTGGGACTTCATTTCATATAGGGTCGATATTTCTATTAGAGTCAAACGGAAGTACCTAGATATTATGTATTCCAAATCGTTTTTTATTTCATAACAAATTGAAAAATTTTTTAAAAACAAGCAAACAAAAAACGATTGCTCACGTTGGTATAATTTTGAAAAAAAATGTGTAATTCCAAGGCTGGTCCCTTTTTTCCAAGGCTGGTCCCCCCTTTCCCCCTTTTTTCCTTTCTATTTTTTTCGATTTTTTAAACTTTTTATGGGAAATTACATATCGTTCGAAAGAGCTCTTCAAGTTGAGTCGAAAGGTGATAAATTCGTCGAAATCCAACTTAAATAAATATAGTTATGACCATTTGTTTTAATCCCTTTCAACATCGCAAAAAGCATGTCCATCGAGGATTTAGTTTCATAATTCTGCTCAGAATCTCCAAATCGAACCGATCATAGTATCATTCTACTCAGCTCGAACAGCTCTTTCGAATGATATATTGTAAATTATGTGTCAACCAAAAAAGCTCAAAACGGTCAGGCAACAGAAAAAAAGGGGGGGCAGCCTTGGAATTACCAAAAATGTTGAAAAGAATTTCCGTTTATACATATGGTAAATGGGTATTATTTTATACAAGATGTGTCGTATAAAATTGTAGCCTATCTTATAAAAGCTTAATAAAACTGTCATAGTGCCCTCGAAATAGACGAAAATCATATGCTTGACTTTAATAATGCTTGCCTTTAAATTAAGAAATTAAATTGAGAAATGCTCATTTTAAAATGTTTTTTATTTTTAATAATTTTTATATGCTTTATTTCTTAAATAATTTCATTAAATAAATAAAATTCATAAAAATCTCTCTAAAGTTTAATGGAGAGAAAGTTTAGTAAATTTGAATAAGCGAGCGATTGTAATTATTAATTAGTCTCGAGGAAATATAATAAAAAATATATAAACAAATACCTATCTCAAGGTTAAAAATATTTCGTGTTTGCAAATAAAAATCTTGGGATTAGTAAGAGATAAGTAAAAGTTTTGCCGCGGGTAAGCAACGATCCTGCGACTATAGATGTTTCTGATATAAATACCTACAAGCTCCGCCTATTTCAATCATGTGCCATAGCGATTATTTTATGGAGAGGATCCGGGCTTTCACTTTTAATAGATTTTAAACTCACATCTAGTTTTAATGCTATCCCATTGAATCTCCGTTCATCCTAATAATAAACAATGAATTTTGACTGGTAAAATAGCTTACCTACTTCTCATGATAGCTTACTTACCCCCTGTATAGATGTAAAATTTCTCAAGAGCAAATGTAAAATTTCTATATAAATGTAAAATTTTTTAATATGTACATATAAATATTAAATTTCTCAAGCTATTGTAAAGCATATGTACATGCGATTGTAATTATTAATTAGTTTCGAGGAAATATAATAAAAATATATAAACAAATACCTATCTCAAGGTTAAAAATATCTCATGTTTGCGAATAAATATTTGGTGATTAGTAAGAGATAAGTAAAAGTTTTGCAACGGGTAAGCATTGATCCTGCGACTATCGAGGTTTCTGATGTAAATACATGCTTCGCCTATTTCAATCAGGTGCAATAGCGATTATTTTATGGAGAGGATCCGGGCTTTCACTTTTAATAGAGTTTAAACTCACATATAGTTTTAATGCTATCCCATTGAATCTCCGTTCATCCTAATAATAAACAATGAATTTTGACTGGTAAAATAGCTTACCTACTTCTCATGATAGCTTACTTACCCCCTCTATAGATGTAAAATTTCTCAAGAGCAAACGTAAAATTTCTATATAAATGTAAAATTTTTTAATATGTACATATAAATATTAAATTTCTCAAGCTATTGTAAAGCATATGTACATGCGATTGTAATTATTAATTAGTTTCGAGGAAATATAATAAAAATATATAAACAAATACCTATCTCAAGGTTAAAAATATCTCATGTTTGCGAATAAATATTTGGTGATTAGTAAGAGATAAGTAAAAGTTTTGCAACGGGTAAGCATTGATCCTGCGACTATCGAGGTTTCTGATGTAAATACATGCTTCGCCTATTTCAATCAGGTGCCATAGCGATTATTTTATGGAGAGGATCCGGGCTTTCACTTTTAATAGAGTTTAAACTCACATATAGTTTTAATGCTATCCCATTGAATCTCCGTTCATCCTAATAATAAACAATGAATTTTGACTGGTAAAATAGCTTACCTACTTCTCATGATAGCTTACTTACCCCCTCTATAGATGTAAAATTTCTCAAGAGCAAACGTAAAATTTCTATATAAATGTAAAATTTTTTAATATGTACATATAAATATTAAATTTCTCAAGCTATTGTAAAGCATATGTACAGCTATTTAATTCCTAAGACTGTGTAGTAGGCAGCGTGGTGTAATGGCTAAAACATCAGTCCGGTCTACTGAAGATGCTGGTTCGCTCCCAGCCGCCGAATAATCTTTTGCACTAGCTGAAGGAGAGAAATAGCTATAGCCCAGCTGCTTTACTATATCTTAATCGGTAATCTAACAATCTAATTTTTTTATTTTAACTGCATCCGCATAAATTTAATTTTATTATTTCAAGATATATGCAATCATGAAATTTTTTACATTTTTTTTATTAATTTATTATTTCGTTGAATTAATTTCAACATCAAGAGATTTCCTCAAAACCGAGGAATATGGACAATTTGTGGGAAAAGAAAGGGAGGAACTATTAGAAATGTATAAAAAATACTTTGGAAAAAATCATGAGGAAATGAATGATGAAATTTTTCAAGAATTGCAAATTAGGTCATTTAATAAGTATTTTGTACTTTTTCTTGAAAATGTTGCTGGGAAATTTGCGGAAAATGACGATAATGAAGAAACAATTTTTATTAAATTAATGACTGGAAATAATAAGGAAGATGAATCAAAGAAAATAAAAAATGAAAATCTTGGATGGAATGATGAATTTGTGAGTAGTTTTAAAAAATTGAATAAAGATGCCTTGAATTTATTGAAAGAGCTTTTTAAAAATGACAATTGGTCATTAGAAAAGAAATTTTGTGAAATTTATAGTTTAGTAGAATTTGCGGCGAAAAATGAAGAACTTTCAAAAAACAATCATTGGAGTGATTATATAATCAAGTTTAATTATGTAAGTATAATTTATATATACCGTGAATGCTGAAATTATCACGGAGGAAGTGCTGGATTTAAGATATATCTCAACCTAATTGAGGCGAAGTTGATTTATTTTTTGATATTAAGCTTAAAATGTTCCAATAATCAAATTTGATCATAATTTCTTAAACTTTTTAAAGTTTGGGGGTAATTATTAGAGAGAGAGAAATAATTTAAGCATTTATGGTATATTATTAATCAAAAAACGTAGTTTCTATTAATTTTAAATATTTCAGAAGAAAAATTTTGAAAATCAAATTTTGTGTGAAAATGATAAGCAAATTAATGACCTAATCATAAAATGCCTTGAAAATGAAGAATTTAATGTTACGATTAAATCTGTTCATTTATATTTTTTAAAGACTTTGAATAATGATTTACAAATTTTTATTTATGGAACAAAGGGAACAAAAAACAAAGTAATAAATTTGTTAGGACATGAAAATTACGAAAATATCAAAAAAGAGTTTTTAAAAGTAATACAAGATCAGTTGCAAAAAGGTAAGAAAAATATATTTTTATTAAATTTTAATAGGTATTTTTTGTTGTTAAATAAATTTTCGCTGATTAAATTACATTAATACAAGAGAGTTGGTCAAATAAATATTTGACATCCAAAATTCAAATATTTGTTTGATCATATACCGTATATGCTCTATTAATTACCCTCTCTCGAATAATTACCCCTCCCCCCTCTATTAATTACCCCTTGCAACCAGAGGTTGAAACAATACATAATTACCCCTCTTAAAAATGGTTATAATTAGCCTGTTTAAAAAAAGCTCAAATAATTACCCCCACTTTATTAATTGCTCCCTTTAGCGAGAGGTTGAAACAATAATTACCCATAATTATTAGAGCATATACAGTAGTTGTTTGATCAGCTTTGAAAAGATCACATTTTTCAAATATCAAATAATTTGATCAAATATTTATTTGATTTTGCCATTTGTCTGATCACATTTGTCTGATCACTAATTAACCAGAGCTCATAATTTAAGCTATATTGAATAAAACAACTCAATGGAAACATTATGAAAAGATATTTAATTTTAATGAACCAGAAGACAAAATGTACGGGACATATAATTACAACAATGTAACTAATGAAGAAATGCGTATAAATATTGGAATGTTTTCAAGAAGGGTTGATAAGATTGAAAAAAATCTAAATTCGAAGGAATTGGAAGATTTGTTCCTCAGAATAAAATCAGTTATATACGAAAATTTTGACACAGATCGAGTTGTTCAACTTTTATTTACTATTGCAAAGCTTTTGAGTGAAAAGAAAGCTTTATATAAAAATTATGTTAAAGAAGGGAAAACAGAAAAGATAATCGAGGAAGTTGATGCGGAAATTGAAAATTTTACACAAAATAATAGTATAGAACCATATCTAGAAATGAGAAAATTTCTGGCTGAAGAAAATATGGAATTTTTGAAACCAAAATTAGAAGATCAAAATATAATAAATAAATTCAAGAAGAAGGATGGCTCGACGTTTTGTTTATTTATGCTTTTGAAAGATTATCCTGCTGATCTCTTTAAAATTTTGAATGTTTATGGATTATTCGAGCTAGACGGTAATGATTAGGGATCGGATTTTTAGGTGTAAAAACTTAAAAATAGGCACCTGAATAGGCTGTAAAAAAGCCAAAATAAGTGACAAAAATGAAAAATAGGTTGCAAAAAAGGTTCCTATTAATTAGGAACTATTAATTAGGAACGATTTTTTTAATTAAAAAATATTTTTCCAAAAATTGAAAAAAAATTTTTGGTTGAATTTTTGGTTGAATAGGTTATAACCTAAAAATCCTATCCCTAGTAATGATATTTACACTTTTATTAATAGTTTTGTCCTTAATTTAAGTTTTTCCAAATAAATTTTAGCACAAATTACTATTTAAAAAATACTGATATAAAATAATGGAATATTATTTAAACTCAATGAATTTAAAAATATTGAAACAATTTTAATTTTATTTTGCCAATTTAGATATTCTAAAAGATGAGAAGATAATAAAATACTACATAGTATATTTCCAATCATCGAAGGATGTAATTAATCAAAAAACAAACAAGATTATAGTTGATTATCTTGCTTGGTTCAGATGGGCGATTAGTTCGATTAGTGAAAGAAAGAATTCGAAAATAAGAAATAATAACAGGAACATGTTGGAATTTTTCAAATCACAGAAAATATTTTTAAAATTTAATTTTGAAAAGCTTTTCTTTGAGACTAAAGAAAATATTGAAATTGCGATTAAAGAATTGGTTTGCAAAATATATAAATTGAAATTATTTATTGAAAAGAAAAAAAATTACAAACCTAAAGTAAATAAGTTTATAACAATTTTAAAGATATTAAATAAGGAAGGCCAAAAATAAGGAAGGCCAAAAGTAAATTTTTTGAGTAAACTTTATAAAAGTTGAGAAGGAAATTTTCCTAGGTAAAAGGCCGCAACTGTATAATTTCAAAAATAAAAAACACTAATCTTAAAAAACATTGAATAATCTTTTTTATTGAAAGAATTTGTTTTTAAGATAGGTAAATATCAGGGCTGGGCGAAATCAAAAAATAAAAAGCGAAATGCGGAATGCGAAGCTTTTAGCGCCAAAAAATGTGAAAAATTCGAAACGCGAAAATGCGAAATCGCCCAGACCTGGTAAATATGTATTTAGTTTGTTAATGAATATTAAGTTTTGAATAAATTGATCAGTTATACTTAATTAAAGCATCCAGCAGGCCTGAAAGCCAATAAAAAGCCTGCCTGAAAGCCAATAAAATTTGCTACAAGATATAGTCGTTCAAATTTTCTAAAAAAATTTATCTATGGTGTTGAGGAGTGAAGAACATATAAGGCGGCAAAAATCTCTCATATTACCCCATAAATGGTCCTTTTTTTGCCGTGTTGTACATATATTGCTTATTACCTAACTCGAACGATAATTTTTTCAGGAAGGTCGACTTTAGATATTTTATAGCAAATTTTATTGGCTTTCAGGCAGGCATAAAAGTGTAATCAATTCTTATATCAAAAAGATACAAATAATTTTTGAAATGAATTACTCCTATTTCTCGTTGAAATCGAGATGTCTATATTTCAAAGAAAAGAGTAGATATTGAAACAATCCTTTTATATATTAACTTCTTATGACTAAACACCTTTACTAAAAATTTTGTGGATTTTTCTTAATGATTAAACGTATTTTGTAAATAGGGATCATTACTTTTTTCCACCCAAAAATAGGGGTATCCATTTAAAGTTGAGAGAAATTCACGGGGTTGGAATTTTGTGAAAAAATTTTTCCGTGAAAGTATCTTAACATTGTGAATTTTGATTATGAAAAAGGAAGTAAAACATTCACACTTTCAATGTCAAAATAATCACTTTTCAAAAATTTTCATACCCAGGGATCAATACTTTTTTCCATGAGTATATATCGTATTCGACCTATATATATCGTATTCGACCCTTGGGTGGGTATATTTAATTAAATCAACTAATATATGTAGGTAATTAATATTCTCTTTTTATTAAGACAAGTAGACAAAGTTCTGAGATTATTAATGAATGGATTAAAGAATGGAGTGACATAGCGAATGAAATAACTAAAATTTTCACGAAAGACACCGAAAATAAAGAAATTACGATTGAAGAAGATGAAAAAATTAAATCGGAAATTGCAGAACTGCAAAAAAGTTTTGACGATTGGATAAAAGATGAACATTATCAAATTATAGATAAATTTATAAATGATAAAAATAATGAATTGTCAAAATTTTTGATAGAAGGTAATTCTAAACATCCTCAAAGTTAACACACCCTCTGTTATATGTACATTATTGAAATTTTGGGCCAAATTCGTCAAATAAAAGCTTGACGATTGTAATTTTGTAATTTTTAAAATGTAATAAAATTAAATAAAATTAAAAATTATTTTTAAATAAAGAAATCACCAACAAGGAAGAAATATTAGTAGATGAGATAATAGAGAAATTGGTTAATAAAGAACGTTCAAAAAAATTAATAGAAAGATTAATTAAAATGGCTAAACAACAACAAATAAATATAACTAAAAATGTAAAAAACCAAAAACCAAAAAAAGAATATCCAACGAAAAAACAAGGAAAGGATCAGAAAATTTCTCACAATCTGCCTCAAACGGTTACAGTTACGGAGGTATCATAAATATAAGATTTTGCTAAATAAAAATATTTATTTTTATGTAATTTAACGGATTTTAAAAGACAATTTTGTCTCAGAACGTGAATAATAAATAAAAAAATTTGAGAAAAATTTCAAAAATTAAAAAAAAATTTTAAATCTAAATAAAAATTTTTGTATTAAATTGTACCAAAAATACCCGTAGCCTGAAATAATAAAAATTTGGCCCGAAAAAGACTCGAACCGAGTCTTTTTTATATAGTATTTGTGGGGAATTTCATTTCATCTGACTAAATTTTTGAATAATTCATAAAAATAATTAATTATTTCAAGGTTCAAAATAAAGACTTGTTAAATGTCAAAGAAGAAAAAGAGACAGAAACAAAAAATAAAACTATAATAGAGAATGTTGAGGAAATTATTAAAGTGGAGTACTTTACAGAAGATAAAAATTTGTTTGATATTTTTAATCAAATTAGTAAAGGAAAACAAGTAATTAATCAAAGTGGGGCGGCCGAAGGCCGACCAACTCCGCTAGTTAATCAAAGTTTTGTTGATGTTGGAATTTATGCAAACGAGATTGGGAAGCGTTTTGAATTTTTGGAGAATTTAAAGAATTTTTATAAAAATGTTTTTGAAATTTATTTTGTAAATTTAAAAAAATTTAAAAGAATGAAAAATTATTGGGGGAATATTAAAGAAAAATTAACTTCAAAAAATGAAGATGAAAAAAATAGAAGAGTTGAAAATGATTTGTATTATTTTTTAATTAAATTACTAAAAGTGATAGATGGAAGGCTTTTATTAAATATAGAAACACCTAGAAAAATTAAAGAAAATTTGTATTTGGAAAAGATTTCGAAATATTTTGTTGAACAGATTAAGGTTAATTGGAGTGTATTAACTGCCAATCAGAGACAATTTGTTCAAGAAATATTTAAATTAAAAGAAAAGGAGATTCTAGATGAATGGGTATTTAAAATAGAAAAAAGAATTAAAGAGTTAAAACAAATGAATGAGCAATTGGATATAGGTTTGTGTTTTAGAGAAACGGCATAGTGCTATTACATAATATTTAAAAGCCGACTACTTAGCTCATATAAAAGTCGGTATGTGTCACTATAGCCGTGGCATGAAGTTGTGAGGAGCAGAGGTGGGTCAGAATTCCGATTTTTGACTTACGATTTCCGAGTTCCGTCGTTTTTTTCCTTCTGATTTCCGAAAAAAGTTTGATTTCCGAGGTCCGACTTTTGAGCCAGTTCCGATTTCCGGCTCTTTCGATTTCCGACACCACTGAATGTTCCGACCCACATCTGTTACTAGTGAGCTGAATTCGCGGAAATTTTTTGCCTGTAATTCTCACCTTTAGAAAGGTGGGAATACAGCCCTACAGTTGAGGGAAATTTTCTAGAAATTTACAAAAAAATAATATTTAAAGATAACTCTGAAAATGTCCAAGCTTATCTTAATCCAGACGTAATCAAACCTCTATCATTAAATGAAAAATGGAACGCTTTATCTACAAATGTTGATAATGATATTGTTCCAACAGTTTCATTTAAAGCACTTTTCGAGGAATGGAAAAATTTTGCAACAGGAGTTAAAGAGGTTAAAAATTTCCGATTATTTATGTCATCTCCAGTCAATAGACAAGGAGGACATATACATGCAATTGTTTTGGCTATTGGAGCAGGGAAGGTTAACGATGAGATAATTAAAGGATTATTTGTTGATAAAGTAAACAAAAGTTTATTGAATGATCTTAATAGCAAATGTTTGGATAATTCGTTTTATTGTCAACTTTTCAATGTAAGAGAGTCATATATAAAGTTTCATTTCCAGTCTATAATTAATATTATAATTGAGAGGACTAAGATTTATGATCATAATTTTTTAGCCTTGATTTAAATTAAAATAAATCTTATATCATTCGGAAACCCTTAATAATCGGTAGCTTATTCAAATTAGATGGACTAGATACTAAAAGGTTGATAACCAGATACTAAAAGGTTGATAAGGTTGATAAAAACAAAGCCCAATTGAGCAGTAACTCAAAAAGCCCGACTCCGATTTATATCTAATTATAATTTAGAATGCGAGAAAGCAACCACTCAGTGGAGAGTACAAATTACTACCCATTTCTGATGAAAATATTCATTATGAAGAGTATGGTACAGAGTTTGAAATAACATTTGTCTATTATAAAGAAGAACGTACGGCTCAAGATGATACAAATTGGATCGGTTCCGTGACTTTTGCGCCGAGAACATTTGCGCCGCGACTTATGCGCCGCGACTTTTGCGCCGCGACTTATGCGCCGAGCGACTTTTGCGCCGGGGGACTTTTGCGCCGCGACTTTTGCGCCGGGCGACTTTTGCGCCGCGACTTTTGCGCCGGGCGACTTTTGCGCCGCTACTATCATTAATAATTATGAAAAACTACAGCCGGACCTCACTATAGAAGATGTAGGATAGTTGTGGATCTTCGGATATGAAGAAAATTTTCGGCTATCCGGACTTTTTCAAATCCGGATATCTGGATCCGACAACCCTACACTATAGTGCACCCTCTTCTGGCAGAAAATCATGCCTGAATAGGGGTAGCAGACCAAATATCCTGATCCGAAAAAGTCAAGTTCTTTGAAGATGACCCCTCTAGGGGGTCGGTTTATTATAGAAGGTTTGTTGTACTTCCCGAAATATTGTACTTCCTAAAATTCCTTCAGCTCCTGGATACCATTTTTTAATGAGTACACTATAATTAGGTCCGACTGTAGGTATTATTTTTTTTAAATTATGGCGGCGCAATTGTCGCGGCGCATAAATCGCCCGGCGCAAAAGTCGCGGCGCACAAGTCGCCCGGCGCATAAGTCGCGGCGCATAAGTCGCGGCGCAAAAGTCGCGGCGCAAAAGTCGCCCGGCGCATAAGTCGCGGCGCAAAAGTCGCGGCGCAAATGTTCTCGGCGCAAAAGTCGTGATACCGCCCTATTCACATATAATATTTTGTATGCCCGTTAATTAGTGTTCCATTTATTCCCTCTTATAGCGTGATTTTACTCGATGGATAAAGCCTCCTCGGAAATACATGTTTAGAATCTCTTTTTTTAAATATCCAAATCCTAATTTATATTTCTAATAAATCACAATACATTTAAAGCAATTAAAATAATTTTATTCATTTTTAACCTTTCAATTTCACATATAATTATAATTCTAATTGAAGTATTTTCAATTGATCCCTTACAGTATCCGTTTTTAATGTATAATGTGTAAGGCCATCATATTCCATTTCTTTTTTTGTTCCAACAACAATTGAAGTCTTCCAGCCATATGCTTTATTAGTTGGGCCTATTATTGTGTCGTTAGTTGACCAAAAACTTGCCTAAAATAATTATTTTTGAAGTGAAAAATAAATTTATTACAATATATTTAGCGTCATCATTTGAATGATCCAATTTTCTCAATATATCCCCATAATTATCTGAACAGGGAATAAGATCGTCGCTGTTACACTGTTTTACATCTGTATGTTCTGGACAGCTTGGACCAGTCCAGAAACCAAACTTTAAATTTTTTCAATTAAATTATATATTAAATAGCCATTTATACTTCTTTACTGCATGCTGGAACTCTTTTTGTATCGTTAGTTGTTTCTCCTTCAGCATCAGCACAAATACACAAGCCATTGTTAGCACCAGCGATTGCAATAAATTTATTTATTTTACTTTTTAGAGGGTCCCCAAGTTGGCACTTTTAAATTAATTTTTAAATTTTATTCAAAAATTTTAATTTTACTCTATGTAAAATCCACATATTCCCTTGAATAATAATTCTTGCATAAGTAACACCCATTGAATGAGCAATAATATCTATTTCTTCTGCACCTGTATATGCTAAAACAGCATCAACAAATCTTCTCAGTCTTGTTGCAGTTCCGCAAGTTAATTTACTTTATAAAAAATAATTTTTGGATAGAAGAATTATTTTAACTTAATTCATTTCATTATTGAAAAATTTTATGTTTAAATTTACTCAGTTCACTATTTTCTCATAATTTAATTCCTAGATGGACTTGAACCTTAATAACAATCTTTCTATTATGATCTGCTATTAAAGCATTTTTAGTCGGGCAAAATATTTTTTATTCCTAATTAATTAAAAAAAGCTAATGGTTATTATTTAACTCTCTGTGTATCAATTATCCGATTTACAGTCGTGGAAAAAAGTATGGAAGCGCTAGAAAATTTTCTCTTAATTTTTAATTTTTCATTCAAAAAATACGTTCTATATACCAATCGAAAGCTCTATTCGTATCTCAGTTGACATGTTTCTGCATTTTTTATGAAAATGAAAATTGGCCGAGATAATCCGGATCTACCGGATATACCAAATCCCACTTTTTCGGAAAAATTTTTCGGAACAAATTTAACAAACCCAAATGATAAAGTTTATTTTTGTGAGCATTTTCCACAAAACCGCTTAGAAATATCTTTTTCCGGAGCAGAGATATGATTTTTTGAAAATCGCATTTATCCCTTAAAAATTAAAATTTTTGCAAAAATTGACGAAAAATGCGATTTTCAAAAAATCATATCTCTGCTCCGGAAAAAGATATTTCTAAGCGGTTTTGTGGAAAATGCTCACAAAAATATACTTTATCATTTGGGTTTGTTAAATTTGTTCCGAAAAATTTTTCCGAAAAAGTGGGATTTGGTATATCCGGTAGATCCGGATTATCTCGGCCAATTTTCATTTTCATAAAAAATGCAGAAACATGTCAACTGAGATACGAATAGAGCTTTCGATTGGTATATAGAACGTATTTTTTGAATGAAAAATTAAAAATTAAGAGAAAATTTTCTAGCGCTTCCATACTTTTTTCCACGACTGTATAATTAAATAAAAATACTTTTCTATAGATTTTGTAATATCTCTAATTCCATAAGTTATTGCATATAATTCAGCTGTAGTATATCCTCCATGGGACATAAAATAACTAATTGAATTACTCCATCCACTGTTCCAATCACCCCCATGTCCAGCTAACGCCCCATCAGAATTGCCATGAATAAATACTACTGGACGTTTATTTATCTAAAAGTCTCATATACTTTGGCCAAGTTTAAAATTATTAGTTTCAAATATACATATATTATAAATACATATGTCCTAAGCAAAGAGCCGAGCTTATTCCTTAATAGACAAGACTGGAGCATATTTTTAAAAAGTATTATAAAAATTTCAATAATTAATTATTAGAGTTGGCAGAAAAAGCGCAAACCCAGAAAATGGAAAATATGCACAAATCTCGTAAAAATCTGATTAAAAATCTACAATTTTTTTCCATCAACCCCAATGAGTATGATAAATTTTTGACAAATATTTTTAATTTTCTGTTGTATCTACATATATTTATGTAGATTGATTCGGCTTATTAAGTATACCTATTTAATTTAAATTTAATTTTCTATATTTACCGGCTGATTTTTGTATTTACGCCCACCAAAACTATTTAAATTACCAAAACCAGCCAAGTCTTCATAATATTCATGCCTATCAAAATTTTTTAATTATTTTAATGCAGAAAAAATATTATTTAATTCAAATATATGCAGTAAATGTCCCAATAAAAGCCCCGGGATTTTATTTTCAATGATTTCCATTGGCTACATAATCGGGCAATAAGACTTTTATGGCAATTTTATTTAATATATTTACTGAGAAAGCCATTCTTGAAAGTCTTGTGTTAAAGGTCCTTCTACTTTATCAGGTGTTACTATCTCAAATTCAGGTTTACATTCACATTCACATTGTTCGTTACTTTCATTTAAATTAAAAATTATAAATAAACAAAAAATAATTTTAATTTTGTTTTTTAATAACATTTTTTTAAAATTAAAAAGTTTTGAAAAGCACTTTTAGAAAAACCTTTTTATAAGCATTTTTAAATCATGAATATTTATAAACTTAAACAAAATTTTCTGTCTATATTTATTCATTTAAATAATTTTCCGTATTTAAATTCATTTTGTTTTGATATTTTTAGAAATATATATTTTAATTTTAAGTATTATTGGCAATCTTAGAATATTAATTTTATTAAAATAAATATTATTTTATTTAAAAATAAAATTGGTCATTTTAAATTATTTATTTTTAAATTATTCATGAATCCCCAGCCTTTTAATCGCCTTAGATATCCACCTTCTCCCTCGATACCCCTCCAGATCCACGGATATCCTCCTTAATCCCTTCAACTCCCTCATTTTCCTTTTAATCCCTTCAGATCCTCTCATTAGAGTTGTAAAGAAATAAAAAATTCTGTTGATAAAAAGGTTGTAGTTCTCCAGGGTGAATAGGTCTTCAGAATATGGGCCTGATCATTACCATAATAGTCACGCAATAATTTCATAGCTTCCTCAAAACTACGAGTTTCAAGTCTAAACCCCGAAACCAACTCTCTGGCTTCTCCCTCTAAAAGAGAGCGGAGCAAAGTTAATTTTTCAATTTCTGAAGCAACCGAGTTGTCTATAGCGCATTTGAAGGATTCATAAAAGTCTAACCACTCCCTCCTGTTTCCACTGAATTTTCTAATTTGTAAGGTAGGGAGCTGGTACAAAGAATGTAAGGAGCGTGCTCGACTTGACGCTCCTGCCACATTCTGACTACCCACAGAGGCTAAGGCAGCTGAATATTTTATATCCTCCTGCTGCCTTTCCTTTTCTGCCTCATGTTTTAAAATTTTTAATTGAAGTCCAACTTTTTGTGTGTGTTCACGCAACAGGCGAGCATTCTTTTCAAAAACTCCCAAAGTATCCTCCACGTGGTGGATATTATTAAACTCGGTATATTCTTCATTTCCCGCCTTGCGCTCCTCTCCGCCCATTTTTCGCAACAAATCTCCCCAGG